CTGGTCTTGAACTCCTGACCTCAAATGATCTGCCTGCCTTGCCCTCCCAAAGTGCTGGGATTATAGGCATGAGCCACCATGCCCAGCCTATCACTTCAATTTTAGCACATGCATTGCTATATGCACACATTTCTTATTTGTATATGTAAATTTTCAGTCAAGTCTAGTTTCAATAGACTTTGGGGGTCTGTATTAAAGATTATAAACATTTAAAAAAACTATAGGCCAGGCGCCGTGGCTCACACCTGCAATCCCAGCACTTTAGAAGGCTGAGGTGGGCAAATCACTTAAGATCAGGAGTTCGAGATCAGCCTGGCCAACATGGTAAAATGCCATCTCTAAAAACAGACGAAAATTAGCTGGGCATAATGGTACAGGTTTGTAATCCTAGATACTCAGGAGGCTGAGGCAGGAGAATCAATTGAACCTCAGGAGGTGGAGGTTGCAGTGAGCTGAGATCGCGTCACTACATTCCAGCCTGCTGGGCAACAGAGTGAGACTATGTCTCAAAAATAAAATAAAATAAAATAAACTATGACACATAACAGCAAACTTCTTGTTACAGGACTAGAGATGTCCAAAGTTAAGAAGTCTTAGGGGTTCAGAATGGTAAAGTGAAGGCACACGTTATTCAGGCAATCTTGGCAGAATCTAGTGTCATAAAATTTAAAATTCAGAAGTCTTTGTAAGAGAGAAAAACAGAATCAAAATATTCTCTGCAGGTCCAACAAACAACTTTGAGTTCAAAACTCAGATCTGCATTCATTAGCTATGTGGCCTGGAGCATGGCAAATGCTTTATCTCTAGGTCTCAGATTCCTAATCTGTGAAATGAAACTCACAAGATGAACTTCAGTGGCTTGTTTTGAATATTAAATGAGAAAACATATTGGTAAAATCTATACATGTTATTTTCATTCTTTTCCTTAAACATGAATATGAAGACATCCAGATTAAAATTAGGTGTATGCAAACTTAACCTTTTGAAAATATATCCCAATGAATAAGGAAAAAATATTAATTTTAATAATTGCTTAAAAACAAATAAAACAACAAAACCAAAAAGCCTTGGACATACCTTAATTCAGTAGTTCTTCAACTTCACACCTCAGATCCAATATTCTAGGTACTGCTTGACACAGAGAGCAGTTTTCCTAGAAGGGAATTTGGAGACAGAGGGTGTTCTTTGCATGGTTGGATAAGTGCTAGAATTCGAATTCCTTTTCCTGAGAGTCCTCTACCTTTTTCATTTAATGAACTCGGTTACTTTCTTTGTTTCCTCTTTCTCTCCTCGTTGGCATAAAAGAAACGCTAAAAGCAATCCACAATATCAATCGTGTCAAATATCATGGAATGTGGCCTGAGTCCTGGAAGAGACTACTCCATGCAGTGGATCATAGCAGCTGAGAAGTATCCTTCAGCCAGCCATTATCAAAACTAGAGTCACTAATGAGATCACAAATAAGAGGCCTCCATTGTCTCTGTAAGACTTCCTCAAATGCCCTTATTACTAAGGGAAGGTCTGGCTTTCTGCCAGTATCACAGACTACTTTGTTCATTAGCTGGTTGACTCCTTGGTCCTTGAACATTTCAATGGCTAAAGTCTGTAGTGAGTTTGAGAAATATAAAGAGAGGAGAATAGGGAGGAGAGCTAGTGGGAGGTGGGTGCTGGAAATCATAAAGACCACTGGAAGTGAAAGAGATGGGGTATGATATCACCATGGAAACAAAGTTTACCTATTGCAAAAATTTGCCCGAGTTGAATAGCATTCATTCATTCATTCATTCATTCATTCTTTCTTTCTTTCTTTCAACAAACATTTCCTCTGTGTCTATGCATGCCTGGCACCAACAAGGTTACAAATGAGAACCAAACAAGCTTGGTTCTTGTCTTCAAGGAGCTTCCATTCTAGTGGGGGAAGGTACACAAAGAACAAACACAACTAGGCTTCCCCCTGAAAAGAAGAACTGGCAGGTTTGCCAGCATTACCATCTAATTTCTCTTTAAAAAGAAACCCCAAGATTTCTTTAGATGTCCAAAAATCTAAAATTTTAGAAGTTCAGACTGACAAAGTGAAAGGGTATACATTATTCAGGCAGTCTTGGCAGAATCTAATGTCATAACATTTAAAAATCAGAAATCTTTTTAAGAGAAAAAACAGAACCAAATTATTCTCTATAGGTCCAGTAGACAAATTTGAGTTCAAAACCCAGATTTGCATTTTTGTAATTATTTACTTTAGTAAATTACTTATGATTTACTAAAATTATAAATAATTATAGTAAAACAGAAAAATTAACAATGAGTTAGTCTCCCAGTGTTGCTCAGGAGACCTCCAAGATTACTTAAGTAATCTTAGTTAAGATTAGTTAACTAAATAAGAAATCACTGCTCTCCCTTCCTCTCCAGTGGGCTCCATCAGCTTGCTCTGTATTCAGAGGCTGCCCTTGGGCTTCTCATATGTGACTCACATTTGAAACTCCTGCCCATGTGCCTTAATGCATCTGACTGGCAGCCACACAGCCCCTCCATGTGGCTCAGTTTCAGTGGGTAGGTAGGGAAATGCCTGTTTGTTTGAGTTGTGCCCCAGGGGTCTGATTACAGTAAAGGCTGTCACATAGAGCTCTTGCATACCCCAACGGCAGACTTGATGACAAGAATGACCAGTGGCTGTGTGTAAAATGAATTAAGGTGAGGTGTATCAAAAGCAAAGAGGTCAATTCAAAGGAGCAGAAATAATCTAGACAGTAATCAAGGAAGAAAGTCGCCATGACACTGGGAAGAAAACCCTCTTGGGACACTGAGTATATTCAACATGATGAAGTAATTTGCGCTGTGACATGGACAAAAGGAGCTTTCCATATTGGAATGGGCAGTAGGATTCCATAATGTGCATCATGTTTAAAAATGGGTGGCCGTAATCCCAGCACTTTGGGAGGCTGAGGTGGGCGGATCACAAGGTCAGGAGTTCAAGACCAGCCTGGATAACATAGTGAAATCTTGTCTCTACTAAAAATATAAAAAATTAGCTGGGCATGGTGGCAGGCACCTGTAATCCCAGCTACTTGGGAGGCTGAGGCAGGAGAATCAATTGAACCTGGGAGGCAGAGGTTGTAGTGAGCGGAGATCACACCACTGCACTACAGCCTGGGTGACAGTGCAAGATTCCGTCTAAAAAGTAATAATAGTAAAAATAATAATTAAATAGGTTGTTCTAATGAGCAAGTTTTTAAAATCCTAACTAAAATTTGGTCTCTTTCTCATTAGTGCTTAATTGTCTTCAGTCACCCCAATCCCACTTTGAGTATATACTAAATCCCTTTTAAGGACAGAGTCTACACTTTTACACGTTGACTCATCTGAAAGCTTTCTAAAAGGATTGGTCCTTAGCATTTCTTTTCACAACTGAATAGGGTGATTTGGGTTTATGCACACAGGAAGAGATTTGTTCATACCCTCCTCTCCTCTGATTTTTTTTTTTTCATTCAGGTTTCTATTTTTATTCAACTATAAGCAAATAGCAGAATTAATGCAATGTTCAGCAGCTTCAAATCAGCGTTTCTTGCTCCTACGAAGAATGATCAATTTAACAGACACAGATATAGGGATTCCTGCTAGGCTGTCAGCCAGCACTGCTGCCGGTCGAGATGGCCATGCTCCAACAACAGCAAAGCCACTCTCCCTACTGCTCTTTCCAGGACTGCTCTTTAAAGGGACCAGAGCGAGATACCGATGCCTATTGAGGCATCTGAGATGCAACGTGTTGGGGGTAAGCTTCAATGCCAGCTTCTGGCTGTCTAGGTGAGTGACATCACCATAAAACCCCACTGCGTCCCATTCTGGACTCAGGATCACAAAGGCAGAGGCAGCCAACCTTTTTTTTTTTTTTAACCTCCCTTAAAGATTCTTTGATGCTTTGCCCTATCACTGCAAACCTGGTCTTTTTCCCCCCAATTTTTTTCTTCCTTACATTCTGGGTTGCTATTTTCATATTAACAATTTGATGACCCCATCACAGTGCCGAAATATCCCCCAAAATGGAATTCAAATTTGACCAAAACATAAATCAGAGTGGGTAAGTGACTAAAATTATAAAGGCCAGGCAGCAGGAAAAGTCACCCTAAACCGCCATCTGACTGCTCAGGTCTTGCCTGTGCAAAGGGGGGAAGGGAGGGGAGAAATCTATTACACATGCAACACTGAACTGAGGAACAGGGCTTGGGGCCTCCAGGACAGACTGTTCTGGTCCCCAAGCTAACCCTCTACTTCCCAGACAGCTGCTCGTACAGTTTGGGCACGTAGTCATCCCACTCGGCCTGGTAACACGTGCCGGCCACGGGGGCCCCTAGCTGGTACTTTTTAGGGAAGGACGCCACCTTGAATTTGCCGCGGTGGTCTCCAGATCGGTTGCTGAGAATGGGCTCGTCACACTTCAGCTGCCTGTCCTGCTCGTAAACCAGCCAGACACAGCGGTGGAGGCCTGTGCCCTGGGGAGGCCCCGAGCCCACGTAATCGGAGAGGACTGTGCCACTGCTGATGTCATTGCCCTTCATGTTGACCACCAGGAAATGATGCCATTCTCTGTACTTGGGATCCTTCCTGCTGGGAGCATCCGGGTCTGTCAGGACCAAGGTGTAGAGCTTCCCTGAATCAAGACCATCCCACGAAATGCTGGTGGGTCTGTTCTTGGCCTGGGTGGGCGTCAGCACTTTGCCCAGCTCGTCCACCGCCGCCCCGCCGTAGGTGAGATGCAGCGGGTGCTGCGGCTGCTCGTCCACTTCCTGCAGGCTCGAGGGCCCGGACCACTTGCTGAGGTCCACCGGCATGGGGGGGCCGAGCAGAACGTGTAGCTCAGAGTGCTGCAGCAGGTCAGGTGCCTCCTCTGATTGTTAAATCTTGTTTCCCTTGTTCATTTTGTATTTTGAGATGTGATCTTGCTTTTAGGAGGTCAAAGAGAAAGTTTCTCTCACATGTTTGTCTTCTCTTTAACAATCCATGTTGTTTTTATATTGGCTCAAGACACACCATTAAAATTCCTGCAAAGCTTTTAGACCAAAATGTGTGTACAGAAGTCTTGTGTCAAATTGCAGAGCCTGTTTTATAATAAATTAATTTCAAATGCTAGCAGAGAGGATGACATTACGTTTTCAAAATGATGCTACATTAATTCAGCAAGGAAAGCTTAGAGACATTCTGAGTCAGAGGACAGGATATTTTGATCTTAAAAGATAAAAGGGCAATTCCAAATAGCTGATTACGCATAGGGTTCATTATTCATGTTGGTATAAGTGTTAGGGGGCATTTCCTCTGTGATGATGGGGCCAGATTCTACTCTTACACACTAATATACAGTTTTTCCTCCTGGTTTATATACAATGAGGTGAATGTCTCCTTCCCCTAATGAACTAGTGTTTGGGAACAAAAACTATAATTATCTTCAGTGGAGACGGCAATTGGATACCCTAGAGATGTCGTCTGATCTCTATAACCTATTCAGCGGTGAAAACAGGGTTTTGCAAAAAGCCGGAAGACTTGGTTTGGAATCCTAACTCTGTCGCTTACTAAAACCTTGACTTTAGAGAAGTTACCTAATTTCCCTGAGCCTTAGTTTCCTTGTCTGCAAAATGTGAAAAATAATGGCTACCCAATAGGATGAAAAAAAAATCTAACACCGTATGTGAAAGTACTCAGCGCTAGTCGGTCCTTAGAAAATGTTAGTCTCCCTTTCCTCTGTGAGCAAGAGGAAAGAAGAATGTGAAGAGGGTTATTAGCTCCTGTTGTGTCAAACCACATGAAATTGCAGGACGGACACTCAGCACTGTTTTTTTTTTTTTTTTTTTGAGACAGAGTCTCACTGTGTTACCCAGATTGGGGCGTAGAGTGCGGTGGTATGATCATAGCTCACTTCAGCCTCGAACTTCTGGATTCAAGTAATCCTCCCCCTTCAGCCTCCAGATTAGCTAGGACTACAGGCACGGCACCATGCTGGACTATTTTTTGTTTGTTTATTTGTTTGTTTTAGAGACAAGTTCTCCTATGTTGTCCAGGCTAGTCTGGAACTCCTGGTCTCAAGCAATCCTCCCACTTCAGCCTCTCAAAGTGCTGGGATTATAGGTGTGTGTCATGGTCCTGGGCCCCGGTGTTCATTCTTGATCATGCATCTGGAATTAGCTAGGGTGACTGATATAGACTGTGGGTGGGTGGGGTGGCTCTGTCTTGCTTGTCTTATTCTGAGGTCCATGCAGAAGGGACAGTTCCTACCTAGGGCAAGTCCTTCTCATGGGAGAAGCAGACACACAGGAGGGTTGAGCAAAAGCACATGGCCTCATAAGGCCCAGGCTTGGCACTGGATGGTGTTACTTCCACCCATAGGCTGAGCCCAGTATCGGGTGGTGCATCTCCAGCGGGAGGTGCTGCAAAATCACATGGCAGAGGGCATGGACACAGGGACAGGGAAGGACTGGGGACAACATGCTATTTCTGGGAGAAGCAAAATAGCTCCCTGACCTTATGGTAGGGGACTGTGCTAGGTTAGGGCCAGGCTAATAAAATGCAAGAAGCTGGCATCCTGTGAACTAAGGGAGCAATGGAGAGGGGCATGCAGTCAGAAGGGACAGAGAGCAGAGTGACTGGGACAGTGAGGGTCGACAAGGACGGCAGCCTCTGCAATGTCAATTTTCAGTCAAGTCTAGTTTCAGTATACTTTTGGGGACCTTGCTATTGAAGATTATAAACATTTTTTAAAACTATAGGCTGGACACCGTGGTTCATACCTGCAATCCCAGCACTTTAGGAGGCTGAGGTGGGCGAATCACTTAATGATTCGACAAAATAAATGTCAATGCAAATAACTTCCCTGCTGTAACATATTTACTGCATGACATTTACAAAGAGGCAGAGGCAATACAAAAATTAGTCAGGTGTGGTGGCACAGCTACTTGGGAGGCTGAGGCAGGAGAATCACTTGAACCCGGGAGGTGGAAGTTGCAGTGGGCCAAGATCGTGCCACCGTACTCCAGGCTGGGCGACGGAGCAAGACTCCATCTCAAAAAACAAAACAAACAAAACAAAGAGGCAGACGGTTCACACCAACTTCCTGAAGAACTGTGAACTACATACATTGTTTTCTTTTGCTTTTGAGACAGTCTTGCTCTGTCACCCAGGTGTGTGTTGGTGTAATCATAGCTCACTGGAGCCTCAACCTCCTGGGCTCAAGTGATCCCCTCACCTCAGCCTCCCAAGTAGCTGGGACTACAGGTGCATGTCACCACAACCAGCTATTTTTTCACTTTTTTGTAGAGATGGGGTCTTGCTTTGTTGCCCAGGCTGGTCTTGAACTCTGGGTCTCAAGCAGTCTTCCTGTCTCGGCCTCCCAAAGTGCTGGGATTACAGGTGTGAGCCACCGTGCCCGGCCTTGAACTACAAATTAATAGACTCACACAGATTTTCTTGATTGGCATCAGGGAAGACTTTAAGACCTCTCCCTGATCCCTTGTTTTACTCTCTGATATGATTCAAGGGGACAAAAAATGAGCTTCTGGAAGGTGCACACCAGGCCACTTTTGGAGCAGGCAGAGGGTTTGGCAGGAGGGAAGGAGCCACATTGGCTTTCTCTGCTTGAATTTCTCTTGAGCTGCCCATAGGCTTGGGGGGATAAGACCGGGCTTGGGAGAGTCTTCTGTCTTCTGCTCAAAAGAGGTTTTAGTTCTCTAAAGGCAAACAGGACCATGATGAGGCTGAAGAGCAGTCTGTATGCCTAGGCCTGCCTCTCCCACTTCTTTGCCCACAAATGTCGCCCAGTGTGCCATGCAGCAGGAAAGACTAAGGAAGTCAAGACGAGTGGGGGGTGGTCCCAGACAGCATGATCTGCACTATGATCAAAGTAAACCCAGGTGCTACTGGAACACATGGAACGTGGGAACGCTAAGGAAGGCTTTGAAGAGGATGTATGACCTGGAAGGTAGGTTTGAGAGTTGAACGTAAGTTCTAGATCCTAAGAGAAAAAGGTAGAATGTTTTATGAAGGTTTCAAGCCCAGCTCACCAGCACAGGAGGTGGGAAAGAACATTAAGCTCTGATAGGCAAGAGGGAGATTGAAATGATGGGTCATGGACTAACTTGATTAGGGAGAGAAATGAGGAAAAGAAAGGGCCGTGCGTGCAGGAGGAAGTAGAGGAATCAGCGTGCTGGAGGCCTTTGAGAGGATGAAGATGAGAGGTGAATACTGCAAGCGACAAGCTAGAAGGCTGGAAGGCTGCAGTGGGAGTGAGAGAGCTGAATTTGAATTCATAACCTGTGTCACGTCTATCCTATAACCTTGACGTGAGTTTGCATTTGTGGTTCAGAATCGACTTAATCACACCTCCATTATCTTCGCACTTCCGCACTCAGCACTCAGTCTATGTCTCCGTAATGGCTGAAAATCCATTATGCTAAAACACCCTTGTCATTACAAACCCTGTCCCCACAACCTCGGTGACTGATCCAACACAAATAGCTAACCCATAGCTTCCTCACGGTTGTGCAGATTATCACATCTTTCGACATCATTATATTATGACTTTATAATGTATTGACATTCAAATTGTTTAAACATTTTATTAAAATATTCTGGTTTTAAATTTGGATGGGCACGGTGGCTCATGCCTGCAATCCAGCACTTTGGGAGGCTGAGGTGGGCAGATCACCTGAAGCCAAGAGTTCAAGACCAGCCTGGCCAACATGGTGAAACCCTGTCTGTACTAAAAATACAAACATTAGCTGGATGTGGTGAAGGGCACCTGTAATCCCAGCTACTCAGGAGGCTGAAGCAGGAGAATTGCTTGAACCCGGGAGGCAGAGGAGGTTGCAGTGAGCCAAGATTGTGACATTGCACCCCAACCTGGGCGACAGAGCAAGGTTCTGTCTCAAAAAAAACAAATCAAAACAAAAACACACATTTAATTTAACAAATGATTGTTAAGTACCTGCTGATGAGGTTGATCTAGGTGGGAGGCAGTGGTCATCATCCTGTCTAAACATCTGTAATGTCCTTCTGACCCCAGTCCACCACCTCTCCTGCTCATGAGGCCCTGCCATGGACCTCCCAGGCCTGAGCTCTCCTGCCTATTGTGTGTTCTGGTTTGCAGAACTCGGAAGGTGAAGGTTGCGGTGAGCTGAGATTGCGCCATTGCACTCCAGCCTCAGCAACTGAGTTAGACTCCATTTCAAAAAAGAAAAAAAATAACTGGCATGATGGCATGTGCTTATAGTCCCAGCTACTTGGGAGGCTGAGGTAGGAGGATCAATTGAGCCCAAAGTCTGAGGCTGCAGTGAGCCATGATCATGTCACTACACTCCAGCCTGGGTGCCAGAGCAAGACCTTGTCTCAAAAGAATAAAAATGTTTAAAAAATACACATATTCCAATAATCATGAATCTATTTTATTAGTAAATAAAGGCCCCAAAGCTATTGAGAGTAAATGAACTCATTTAAGAAAATATTGAACTTATATTTAAATAAGCATAAGTGATTAACTCATTCATGATTAAATTGAGTCAGATATTTATAATATATATTATATATTTAGCACTCAGCTGACAGCAATATATAACCAAGAGTTAAGTTTATTTGCTCACCAAAGTATTAACTTGCACATAATTCATGTGAATTTGGGACACATGTTTTACTTCAACACAGCTATTTAAATTTTTTAGAACATGTTTGTTTACTGAACCACCAAATGCTGTAATAAACTATCTTTACAGTCTTTGCCTTAATTGGGAGAAAAATCATAGAAATCTCAAAGTAGAAATTCTTTCTAACACCCAGCCAAATGTAATATGTATAACAAAAGCAATCAGTGCTAGATTTAGAAGAATTCTAATTTTATAACATG